TGATAGACATAGCTCTATAGGATATGTATATGAAGCTAAAAAAAGAAATATTAAAGATAAATTAACATTAATTATACCGATATATATATAATTTTGTCATGAATTTTTAACTTAATTCCATTTTAAAAAGCATATTTACTGCTTATATATAACCCTAATCTAAAATCCATCTTTATAAGAAAATGCTAGTTTGAAAGTACAAACAAAAAACCAAAATGAGATTTGAGTAGAAAATCAATTGAAAATTTTCATATTCTCTCTCTCTTGCTTTATTATTGTCGGCTTACTCGTTTTATCATCTTACCTTTGACCTCACAATAAGTTAATTTTTCAACTCACTTTTTTTTTTTATTTAATTTACTTTATTTTTTTTTTACACCCCACCCCTTTTTACAATAATATAGACATTGCTTGGTAAAGAGGTTTTTAGAAAGATTATAGCTTATTGAGTACTATTAGTGGTTTGATATTTTTAAAAGCTAATATAGGTGTTTGGTAAATTGCTTATTAAAAAAGTTTTTTGGTGTAAAAAAGCTCTTTTAAAAAAAGTTTAGTACAAGAGCTTTTGAAATTAGCTTATTGAATAATTAGCTATTGACTAATAAATACTTTGAAACAGCTAATTATAAACAACTGTTTATCAAACATCTTTACTCAATCAACTATTTAAAACTAGTTAGTCAAATCATCTAATATAACTAGCTATTCAAACTAGTTAATATAATCAGCTATATCAATTAATTAACAACTAATTACCAAACAGAGCCATATCTCTTATATTATCCTATTTTGTCTTACACCTGCTCCTTTCTTTTAACACTTCATATTTTCTTAAATGTATAGAGTATTGTATATCAATAGTAATTAAATAAAACTTAAAGAATGAAGAGGGTATAACTACCTAGATTAGATTATAAATATTGCACAAAATTTTTATATCAATAACATACTTTTTAAATATAAAAATCAATATAGATATAACTCTCAACCATATCATTTTATTACATCAAGAAAAGATAATTTTCCCAAGAGTAGGACATGCACTCCAATATGGTACCAATACGGAAATAAGGTCAAGAACCAAGTATCCTTGTAGATAAGGTTGTGTTTCCTTTATCTTGTTATTAAATTAGGAAATTTCGAGCTTTATCTTGTACCTTTTGTTTTTCTTAATTATCCATAGCTTGAGGAACATGGCCCACATGAAGTACCACACTGCCAGTCTGCCACTAATATGAAGGAGAATAAAAGTGTTAAAAAAAAAGAAAAAAAAGTGCCACTAATATGAAGGAGAACAAAAAGGTTAGATAGGTGGATACATCTAAAGGGGCCACATTGGCCCACATAAAATTATGGACCCACGTCAAGTTGTAGGTAACCTTTATGGGAGGGTAAAAGGCCCAAGAGTGGGGCCTAACTGAATGGGATAGAGATAGACTATAGAGGAAATGAAAAGTAATCTTATCTAAATTTGTCGAATTTTGTACACCCGTACCATAATAATTCCAATTCTTATCTTGGCAGAGTTTTATGTAAGTATGTAACACAAGTACTTCACTACTTTGTACTGTTTTGTCTTTTAGGTGTAATGGGTTGGTCGTTGGGATGATAACGGATCGGAGATCGGACAAAGTTTTAATGAATTTAGATTCGGTTTTTTAAGTTATTCAACCCGGATTCTTTAGGTATGGAAAAAGAGATCTCACATATTTAATTAGTATTTTCTCTAATTTTTGCAATAAATATAATTTTCAAATAGATAGGATTTTCCTTTTGGAGTAGAGACTAGAGAGAGATAGAGTTTGGCCTTTATTAAATTGGGGGTTTAGAAAATTGAGCCTTTTGGTTCCTTAGGGAAAAAATATTATGAAACAATGAAAAAATGAATAAACAGGTTGATACATTAAGATTAAATCCGTACCCAAATTCATTTTCTTTTACCAAAGAACTCAGATCCGACCAAAATTTGTTGGGCCCATGATGCACTGCCATTTCGAGTTGGTCGTTATAGGAGTTTGAATACTCCCTTTGTCTCGTTTTGTTCCTATTTGAAAATTTGGGAGATTATAATGTAAATAAAATTTTATACTATGAGGTACGCAACTCGTTAATACTAACGGTTCGGATAATCGATAACCAATATCACTGAAAATAATATCTATAAATCGAACCGATAAGTTCGGGTGTCCCTATTTTCAAATCGGATGTATTGTACCCAATATAATATCCAATAATAATATTTAAACTTAATAATGTAGTTATCTTGATATCATTCAACACTAATTAACAACAATATCACATGATCTTGACCAAATTAACAATAATATTACTAATAATTTATATTATAAAATGATTATGAAGTAAAGTAAGTATTTAGATTTTAGATAAATATATTTAAGTAGGAAAAAAAAAATTTCTTATCGGATCAGATCAGGTAATCGTTAATGCTAAAATGATACCCAATAACCATACCCGATAACAAATTATCAGATCGGATACTCAAACCGTTATGGTTATTGGATCGGATACCCTAATTTTCGGATCAGTTACGGATTGGATTTTCGGGTTTTCGAATAGTTTTGTTCAGCCCTACTTTATTTACTTTTTATACTTCAAAACACACTCATGTGGAATTTTGTTGGATTTCGTCTCGAATTTTAGTTTTCAATTATGAAATATTCATGGGTTTTTATAATACGAAGCTTAAGTTGTTTTTGTTACAATATTGCATTGAAACTGTGCAAAAAAATTAAATAGATTAAACTAATGAAAATCGGCAGGGCAAGTGCACCGGGCATATGACTTTGCCCACATTTTGGGCCTTCTTCTCCCTTCTTTGCTCCATGGCCTGATTCTCAAATCTCTTCCTTGGACTTCATTTTGGTCCATTGCTTCTAAAGCTAACCCGACTTGCTAAAGATGACCACAAATCCCGGTTCTCTTTCTTCGCCGAGCTCTTAATTACTGGGCTTGTAACTCCTAGCTCGATAATGGGCTTAAGACACCGGTCATATATGTGCGCTTCATGTCCAATGTTCGTAGTGGCTAAGTAATCTCGAGAAATGCCTCAAAATTTGCAATTTTCTAAAAAAATAATACCGAAAATACTTGAAAACGCATAATAATAATAATAATAATAATAATAATAATAATAATAATAATAATAATAATAATAATAGCTCTGAAGAGCCAAAAATACTCCTAACTATGACGAAGAGATGGGGGTAAAACACTAAAAAAATAGACACATCTAAATTCTTAAATGAATTTTCATGTGAAAATGTATCATGTTATTAGAAGAAATATCGTGGATAGATCAATTCAATTTACCATCTCATTTAGGAAATTTTTAGGAGTTGAAATTAGAGGGTGGCAATCAAAGTTGTTGAATCTTTTGGGAGATGTACTAGGGTAAGGGCTAGTCAATCATATGTCAACTAAACTAACCCTTTTATCGGTGTAAGATAATCTTTTAAAAATGTGTTAGAAATTTTTGTGGAATAGATGGATAATATCCATTATTCTCCTAGAATTAGTTAGAGGCATGTTATGAAGCCTATAAAAATTGGTGATTTGGGGAGTTAAAAGACTAAGAGTGGAACCTCACTTTCATGGATAAGCTTTGATGGAGTATCATGAACAATCCAACTAAACTTTAACTTGGTTTAAATCATCAATAATAATAAAAAAAATAAAAAATAAAAATAATAAAGAAGGCAACTTTTCTTGATTGTACTCCCAATAATTCTCAATCTTAGATTTGGAGGGACATCCTAAAGGGTAGAAATCTTTTAGCTTTCAAAATGAAACTAGGTATAGTAAATTCAAAGTCCTTTTGGTTCATCATAAGGTAAGACCCCATGCATGGTACAACATAGATATTTTAATAAGTATCTAAAGTCCAAGGTTGAAAAAGGTGATACGTCATTGCAATTACTACACAATAATGTGACGAAAATAATATGGCATGTTATCCCAAGTTTCAAGTGAGTTTTTGCTTAACTTAATTGTTTGGGAGTGGGAGATATCGATGACGATCCAACGCTGCACATATGGTTTTGCGCCGACCATTATCACTAGCCTAAAGGGTAAGAGTTTTGCATAAACATTACAACACACAAATGTCATTTTCTCCATTATTATTATAATCTTTTCCACTAAAGTTTCACAAGAAAAATGCTCTTCATGGTAAGGGTGTTTGCCCTTTTGTGGTGCATGGGTCCCACTTCTAAGCAATATTAATGATTTTTTAGTATGAAGTGAAAGTGGAAGGGCCGCTTTTTTTTAAAAAAAAGTTCTACCCTTAAGATGATTCGAGTGAGCGTTATCCAACCTTAATTTTTTTTTTTTTTTAACCGAATGGTACACGAGTGAGTCATGTACTGATCTTATCTCAAGATACGAACACTAGGGGATGGGGGAATATCCCAGTATAATGCTGGGGTGAGGTTCGATCTCTTGCCAAAACTAGGGAAAATGGGGATGCTACCACTAACCCATAGCCCAAACCCCAACCTTAAATGGCCTAAAGTTTATGGCAGAGTCAACCTTTGCTTGGTGGAAGTCCTACTTTATAGTCTGTGGTATTTGAGTATTAGACTATTTGGATGTTTTGTGGACCGTATACAATTGATACTAATCTTATTGGCTCCTAAATTTTGGACTAATGACAACGATAGAAGGTGATTTCATTCCCTTGTTGCTCTCCACTAATAAACTGACCTAAACAAATAAATGTGTGTTGAAATATATAGTGGACTTGGGTTGACCTTTGATTAACATTTGGCTGGTTTGATTGGATTTGCCCCATTACATTGATAAAACAGTAATGCATAACTTCTTGCATGTCGTTTTCTTATGTATAAACTTTCAAATGGTGTTGTTTCGTAGTATTTTGTAGGGGTTGATTTGCTTAATTTTACTATATCACAACAATTATTACACCCTCAAGTTTTGTGTAATGTACGTGTATGTTGTGTAAACCACTTTGATAAGGCCTTTTGAGTTGTTGCAGCTCCTGGGTTTTTCATACTTCCTATTGTGCAACTTGCAAGCATAAATCAATTTGTTGTTCCTCGAAAAAACATTATTTGGAAGAAGAGTTACAGTAAAGGAGGAGAAAGAGAAGGAAGATGACCCACCTATCACCTAAACCAACAGAATTTATGTATTGAAGATTGATGAAAATTGTACTTGGATTAGATTTGACTCATTTCTTGTAACCTGTATCTAAGCTCTTGAGGTCGATTAAGAGATAATCAGAGCTTAGATACACATGATTATCTGCATTTGACATCGATTGTGTTTGATGCTTCAACGTGCCTTAGTGCTATAAAAGCTTAATTTTTGGACACGGCCTCACCAATCAATTGTGCACTCTTTGCTTCACCCTGCATTCATTCAATCCAATATGTTAAATGACATTCTAACATCTATGTAAAATACTAGTATAGTAGCAAGTAGCATCTTCTAAGACCTTAGTTTATATACTCCTATGAAGAATTAAGGGTGTATCTCTTTGTTCGAAGGATATGCAATAAAATATCGATTGTCTTTCGGTGATTTGGTTGAACTATATATCATTGAGTTCAATCCTCGCAAAAAATAGACAATAACTTAATGTTCCCTAATGAAATGGAAGAAAGTTAATAGAAGTATATGGTAATAAAACAAAAAGAGTTGAGTAAAAGATCAACCTGAGCCCTAATGATGGCACTCTTCTTCTCTTGTTCAGCTTTCTCTACAACAAACTTACTCCTCTCGGCCTCTTGCTGAGCAATCTGCTTAGCTTCAATTGATTCCATGAACACTTTTCCGAAATTCAGGCTCGTAATCGACACATCGTCAACCTCTATGAAGAATGTTGATGCCCTCTCCATGAATAATTTCCGTCTCTCTCTACTAACATTCTGCACCAAAACAATTTTCATCACGATTACGATCATATAACCATGTTAACTATCCTAGGGACTAATAGATTTCTTCATTCGTGTACAAATTATTAGTTGTTAGGTTATTTAATAAACAACTAGATATCCAACTTGTGGAAAAAATCATAACTTTACTTTATTATAGGACCTACGTATCCTATCGCCCTTTTTAAAAGGAATGGTGTCCTTCGATGTATTATTCCGATAGAGGGTTCAAAATTATTAGAAAGCTAATTATTCAGTAAGATCAAGTGATCGGAATGCCTAGTTGGAGGCCGCTTCCGATCAGTAATATTAATGCATAATTAATATTACAGCTTAATCTTAACTGAACCCTTTGGGTCACACCCAATCGAGTAACCAAACTGAAACGACAAATTAATCCGAAGGATTAAATGAGTCATTAGAGTATTACGAACAAAGACGTCGGATATCGAGCTTAAAGCGTCGAAATCGAGCGTTGTAAGTCGAGTCGAATTTAGGATTCGGCGAGACAAGAAATCAAGCAAAACAACAAGTTAAAGCTAAGCCATAGCCTCGCATTGGCCTAGCCATGTGAAGGCTAGGCTATGCTACTAAAGCATGGTTGTGCCACAAGCCAAGCATGCATGCGCGTTCTAGGCTTGCTGGCCAAGCATGCTTGCGGGGCAGGTGCGCCTCGTCGTACGCAAGCTAGCCAGCACGCACCAAAGCATCGCTGGGCTAGCAGGGGCATAGCAGCGATTTACTCTCAATAATCTCAACTTACATTTATTCGGGAGCACTATGACCTTTTGGGTTGATTTTCTTCCACTACATCGATTTACCAGTGACTTAAAGAAAGGGTGATTTTTATTTTGTAAAAGTCATGTGTGATGTATTGCAACAAAATTGGTCCAAAATTTTTTTTGTAAAAAAAGAAAAAAAAAATTAAAAATCCTTCCCCACCAGCCACCATCCTTCCTCCCCTTAGCCCCAACCCCCAGCCCGACCGAAATTCAACTGCCCGCCTCCCCTATCAACTAATAACAGTCGGTCGGCCCCTCCCTACCCCTAAAACCACTCGGGTGACCCACCTAAACCATCAAAACCACCCCCCTTCCCCCATCCCCAAAATAGCCCCTCTCTTCTCATGTCGATGAAACCGCCCCTCCTCCCTTCTCTCGTCATCGAAACAGCCGATTTTTTAGCTCCCTCAATTGGAGATTATTGCCAAGAAATTAAATGTAGTTGTGTTACTCAAGGTTTTTGTGGTAGATTTTAAAAAAAAAATAAATAAATAAATAAATGGTAATTGTTCTCAAAAGTAATCATTATAATGGTAGTTGTTGGTAAAATTTTCTTAAATTTTCACAAAATTACCCTATATCTAAAGTATAATACTCCCTTCGTCCCCTTTTAATGGATACGTTTTGACTTTCACACGTTTGTCAAACACCTATTTGACTATTATTCATTACATACTTTTAAAAATAATAACGATTGGATATTAATAGAGCATTCGTTGAGACGAATTAAACAAGATCTCACATGACTCTTTTACTTTTGTGAGTAAATTTGAAGATTATCTAATACTCCCTCTATCCCGGAATACATGACACAATCAACATTGCACACATGTCAATGCACTACTTTGACTTTATTTGTATATAATTAAATATTAATGAAAATTATTATAAAAATTATATTTTGAAACTTTATATATATAACTATTTAACAACATATTTTATGATAAAATATGTTTTTATTATGTTAGTAAAAAATTATGATCAAAACTAATACATGAATAGTGAAAAAAGTCCAACGTCTCATATATTTTGGGACGGTGGAAGTATTATGAATAATGTTTAAAATTTGAACATAACCAATAAAAAGAAATGGAGGAAGTATTATGAATATTATTTAAAATATGATAATAACCAATAAAAAGAGACGGAGGGGTAACCTACAAATTTAATCATCCTAAAGTAATTGAAACGCTTTAATATACATTTTTGTTGATACATAACATTATTTTACCTATAATAATTTTGATCGTAAATTTATTATAATTAGTTGATACTATGAAATTCTATACAATGTATCAATTTCTTTGTGCATATTATTTATAGAATTTAAGTCAAACTCCTAAAAAATTATGCCGATTAAAGTGATGCGCACTTTAAAAAATGGAGGGATTATTTTTCTTGTATTAAATATCTGAATTTATTATAAAATGATTTATTATATTGTAGTTAAATAAAGATATCTTAATGAATGCTATTTTTTTATAGTAATAATTTATATCAAAGTTATCAAAATCGAGATTCCACTTTAAATTGGAAGGGACTTAGATGTGTATGTGTTACTGATGATAGTAGTCGTTTCAGAAGTTTTCCTACAAGTTTTCATTTCTCACATGAGAAGGTTTTTTCTTGTTTTAGGCTTTGAATATTTTAATTATGTAATTTTATTTTGACAATAATTATTTTTACGATATAGAAGAATCCGAGTGAGATGATTTTTAGTGGTTGTGACTATTCACCATAATTTTATTTGGTATGTATGCATGTATGAATTTTTTAATACTCGCATAGTATCATATTAAGTATTTTATATACTTTGAAATTTGAAGTGACATCATTATAAAAAGATTATGATTCTTGGATTGTTTGATGAATTCTGTTTAATGACTTGTTTACAAGCATGATAAGAAGTGATAATTTAATTATGACATGATACATTTATTAAAAGTAAACTGAATCATGTAATTATTTAATTATAAGTAACAAGAAAAAATTAATGTAAGCTTAGTTCAATTTTATAAGAAAGAGCTACATTTATTATTAATTTTTTTTTTTGAGGAAACCGGCAGCAAGTATTATATAAGATCAATGTCCGTCAAAGCCAACAAGCTTTATGGGAAAGGATCAAGACATACAAACTCATCACAATCTTTCGTATCCTACCTAGCTACCATATGAGCTAAAGTATTGCCTGCCCGTTTTACATGAGAACAAACAAAAGTATCAAAAGACAAAGAAAGAGAGACGATATCATCAATAAGAAGGAAAAAAGGAGTAAGTCCAGTAGCTTTGCGTTTGATACCCGCAACCACCGAGCTAGCATCGCTTTCCAAATGCACCCTAGGAAAACCAAGTCGTCTAGCCAAGAGTAGACCAAACCTACACGCAGCAGCCTCTGTGACGTCCACTGCCCAACCAGCTGTAATACCCCGTATTTCGTATTTTAATTTAAATAAGTATTTCTTAAAGTATTTAAATATTCGAGTGAGATGATTAATTTAAAAAATTTATTTTAATTAAAAGTTTATTTTTAATTATTTAATAACCTTAAAAATATTTTATTTCATGATTTGGAAATATTGGGGCATATTATTTTATAAAAGGAAATTGTAAAGTCAATAAGTTTTTAAAGAAAGTCAAAATACTAGTTTGACTAGGAAAGAGATCATTAAGGGTAGTAAAGGAATTTTAAGTAGGAGGGTGATTGAGAGAGGGTATAAATACCCATCATATGCCTAAGGTCGAGAGCACCCAAAGGTAAACTCTCTCTCTCTCTCTCCTCTTATTTTCTTTTCCCCTTTATTTTTGCCCTTCCCCTTTATTTTATTTTTGTTTCAATCACCACCCATACACACGCCACCAGACCACCGCCGCAGCCACCAGCAGGCGCTGACGACAGTAGAGGCACCACCAGCAGGCGCGCAGTAGCATCCCTGCTGTGGTGTCGGTGCTGCGGTGTTCGAACAAAAAAAAAGATTATTCTTTTGTTTTTAAATCCTAATCTAGCCTTGATCAAATTATTGTTTTGGGGTTTGTGATGATTTTATGATGTTTAATGATAAGTATTAACCTCTCCGGCCGAAGACTAGTGGTAGGTGGTCCTGCGGAGCTTTCGGAGAAGGGTAGCCTAGTGTGTAAGCACAGCAATGAACCGCGGCGAACCCTCAGACGACCCATCTAAGATTAGGAAGGAGATCCTCAGTAGTGGTGACCCTTTCACTCTTCCACGGACTTAAACATGTACCAAATGCTCATACGGGAAAGTTGACTCCTGGGTCTGGAACCTGGGGGGTTGCTCCGAGAAATCCTTTCTTTCTCGTCCACTCAGGGGGGTGCGGACACACCTGCGCGGATTACAGGTGACGGTTACAAGAATGGCGGGGAAGTGAATAGTACCCGACGACATTCAGGGATGGATGTAGACCCATCGAGCAGGGGTAATCATTCTGGTCCTGGGAGAGGTAGCGACCCTTCTTAAGAACCAAAAAGACTGAGCTGAGGGAATATAAATTTTCAGATTTGGTTTTGAATTAAAAAGCCCCAAATTATAAACCCTAGGTTTCTAAGTTTGTGTATATTGATGGAAATTGTTTATGGATGATTAAAATTATTGAAATAAGTGTTTTAAAATACAATTACACCAATTTTAGATGATTTATTAAAGCTGGAATTTTTATATATAAGCTATAATTATGTTTCTTGAAAGGATTTTTAATTACCTAATAATTGGGAATAAAAGTAAGGGTTTTAAATTAAATTTCATCTTGTTTTAGAGGGTTTATGAGTGATTTAAGGAGTGTATATATTGCTGGAAATTTGTGTGGAAGAGGTATTAATACTTCTATGTAATTTTGGTTTGTAGGAGACTTCCAAGTGAGTGATTTTATTTAGTCGTGGCGATTTTGAGATCATAATCAAGGTACGTTTCGCATACTTGGTAATTACTTGAATATGTAAGGGCATGCTAGGCTTTGTTTAATTTATTTCAAGTAGTATCATGATAGGTGTTGGTTGGAATTTGTTGATTGGATTGATGCTGGTAAATGATTTGTGATGTATAAATTATTTATGATGAATTGGTGATTGGAATTAATTATGCTGGCATGTTAATTATAAGGGAATTTTGTCTAGAACTACCCGCAAGATAGGGTCATTTGTGAACAACTATCCATTTTTTTTTATTTGTTTAGAACTACCCGTAAGTTTAAAAAAGTTTGGGTAGCACTACCCATTAACGTTTTCTATCCAAAAAACCCTTAGTGGGCCCCACATTGTACACGTGTCAATTATTTATTGGATAAAAATTTGAAAAAAAAAAAGAAAGATTAGAACCCAACCCCACCCTCCTTCCCCGACCACCCCATCCCCACTGCCCACCGGCCACCGGAACCCAGCAACCCCATTCCCCTCTCCACTGGAAAACCCACAGCCCACAACATCAAACAACCACCATCACCACCAACTTAAACTCCAATCACCACCCATTTTTGTGAAGAACCCTAAAAAATTGTTTTGTTTGGTGAATCAATTCATAAAATTGTTTGCTCTAATTGATTGTATGTTGAATTGTGAACATTCTGGTACAAGTTTAATAAAATTTGGTGAAGAAATGATGGTCGGCATCGGCGGAGAAATGGCGGCGAGAGAGAAGGGGGGTGGGGATTCGGGGTAGTGGAGGCTGGTGGCTGGGGTTCCAGGACCGTCGGCGGCTGGGGTTTGGGGTTCAATTTTTTTCTTTTTTTTTCATTTTTTTATCCAATAAATAATTGACACGTGTACAATGTGGGGCCTACTAACAGTTTTTTGGATGGAAAACGTTAATGGGTAGTGCTACCCAAACTTTTTCAAACTTGCGAGTAGTTCTAAACAAATAAAGTTCTAAACAAATAATAAAAAAAAAAGGTAGTTGTTCACAAATGACCATATCTTGCGGGTAGTTCTAGAAAAAATTCCCTAATTATAAACCACACTTTTATTATTGACATGATAGAGAGCATGTTTAATTAAACTAAAGGTTTAATTTGGTTTGGAATATGAAAAGGAATTTTATTACGGTTCATATAATTTTTATTGATGCTTTAAGCATGGGAATTGAGCTATTTAAGTGTCTTAGTACACAGGAATAAACTATATTGCGGTGCCTACATGCACTTAAGGTGTTTCTAACACCGATGGATAGGATTTGCGGTGCATTATGCGTTTAAGGTGTCTTTGACACCGAGGTAGATTAAAAAGGGTTCAACAATTATTTTATGTGGTCACTAATTATTCAAGAATTAAATTGGTATGTTTGATTGCTTGAGTGAAGTATAATGTTTGATTATGCTATGGTTGAGAGTCATCGCCAAATATAATAATATGTAAACAACGTAAAGTGAAAGAGATTCTGCACCAAAACTCTTGGAACGTATATACCTTGAGTATGAACATATTGGGTGAGTTATGCGACTTTATATTTGACCATAACTTCTACTGGGAGTACAGGATGCTGTATTTTCCTTTTTATTTATTTTATGCGCAGGACGTCCAGTCACTTCATGTGACATTTGCCTACCCGGTTAGCTCCTGGTGTAGTTTACCTCAGTTTATTTGGGGCAAGGATTTGGTGGGAAACCCGTTCGATGCGTAATCAAATTAAATAAGCAATTTAGTTATTCATTTATTTATTGATTGGTAATTTGGTATGTTGTATGCTTGTAAACAGGTGCAACAAGGTAAGTTGTGTGATGATAGGATGAAAGCATGTTAATGTGTTTTGTTACGCTTATGTACTCAACATTGCTGATTGTGTGTTGTATGTTTGTTTGGCCTTGTCTTTACTTTGGCCCCATTTCTAATGGCGAGTAGTGGGGACAAGTAGAGAGAAGTTTTCAGGTGATGAAACATTTTCATGATGGGCATGAGTGAAGAGCGAATCCTGCTTAGTTTCCATAGGATTATGATGTGTTTTATTTGCTTTGATTATTATTATTATTTATTTATTATGCTCATGAGACTAACGTAAAGGTTTTCAGTATTGTTTGGTTTTAAGGACCTACAATGGTTCCAAGTTGTAGGTTGATTTTGTTTGACTTTACTTTCATTTGGTTTGACTTTTGAGTTGACTTGTTTTAAATGGTTTTAGAGATAGTCTTCCACTGTGTGCGTCTTTGATATTTGCCTTAGCCGTTTTCACAGTGGCGGTAATGTCTTAGATTTTCCTAAACTATTTCGTATTTTAAAAGGGTAAAATAGGTATTTTAAAGGATAGGAATTTCTAGGGTGTTACACCAGCCCCAAGTCTTCTAACTGCCGCAGCAACAATAGCCCCATTCACATTTCTTATCACCACCCCCACCTTCGACACAACTCCACAGTGAGCATCACAATTAACTTTCACCACCCCCCCACTTGGACAGCTCCATGAACTTCTGCTCTACATATTACCACGGTAAGGGTCCTTAAACACCTTTGAAGCATACCCATTATAGTCATGAACAAGTCGAGAGAACCCCATAGCAATACCCACCGGATCAACCGCATTGTTCTCGAATGTAAATTCATTCTTGCAATGCCATGAAGCCCAGGCAAGCACACTGTCAGAAGTTCTTCTTTAGATACGTTTTCTGCAAACCACAACAATATATCCCCAAAGTGAGAAGTCGGAGCCTGAGCAAAAAGTGATTCAAAAGCACTCCCTCTCCATATATCTTTCGCACCCTTACACTCAAAAATGGCATGTAAAATTGATTCGTTACCTGTCTCACAAATGGTACACCTCATATCAGATATAATGTATCGGTGATATAATCGTTGTCGAACAGCTAAAAAACCTTTACACGCCCTCCATAAAAAATGACATAGTTTCGGAGGAGCTTTAAGGTTCCAAACAATCTTCCATGTCAAGTCTTCAGTATTAGAAGAAGCATCAAAACCATTTTGCTTAGCAAACCAATAACCAGATTTTACTCTGTACACGCCATCCTTAGTGGGCCACCAAAACATTTTATCATTAGTGCTACAATGTGACAGAGGGATGGATAAAATCATTGCTTGCTCCACATTATTAAAGGTACTTTGAATCACCTCCAAATTCCACACGACTAACATGGTCAATTAAATCAACCACTCTCAATGATAAATCACTATTAGCGGTCGGTGTAGTAACAGCAGTTGAAGTATTTCCCGGAAGCCAAGCATCACTCCACACATTAATTTTATCGCCATTCCCAACACGCCATTTCAAACCCTCAGGAAGGAGGGATTTAGCACCCCACATACTACGCCAAGCATATATAGCTAAGATCAAACCCCCTATACGCACCCAAAACATCACTATATTTAAAATATTTGACCTTTAATAGAGTGCAAGAGTGTACCCGGATTATGGTGAAGCCTCCAACACTGTTTCGCCAATAGAGCTTGGTTGAAACACCTAAGATCACGAAACCCCATACCTCCATGACTCTTCGGACGACATAATAATTCCCATCTTTGCCAATGTAACTTCTTAGTCGACACGGAAGACCCCCACCAAAATCGAGACAAAAGATCATGAATTCATCAATGAGAGTATCTGGGATTTTGAAAATGCTCATCATGTATGTTGGGATAGCTTGGACGACCACTTTTATAAGAACCTCTTTACCCGGCTGTGACAATTATTTTTCTTTCCACCCCAAAATAAAGCTTTTTCCATATTCTCTCTTTCAACCCTGCAAAAATCGCCTTTTTTGATCTTCTGATGATATTGGGAAGTCCAAGATACTTCTCATGTCTCACAACCTCACGCACACCCAAAATACTGATAATTTCTTCTCTTCGATTAGAACTAACCATTTTGCTAAAACAGACTTATGTCTTGCTAAGATTGACACTCTGATCTGATGCTCTCTCGTACTTGCTAATTATGTCAGCTATAACCGAGCATTCTTGCACATTGGCTCTTGCAAAAAGGATACTGTCATCGGCAAAAAATAAATGAGAAACCCGAGCGGCTCCTCTACAAATTCTGGCACCATGAATAAGGTTACCTGCAACCGCTTTAGCTAGTAAAGTGGAGAAAGCATCAGCACACAATAGAAAAAGATACGGAGAAATTGGATCCCCTTGCCTCAATCCTCGAGACGGAGAAACTGAACCTGAAATTTGCTCATTAATTTTAAAAGAAAATTTAACACTCTGCAAACACTTCATAATTCGATAAATCCAGTTCAGAGAGAATCCCATCTTTTCCATAACTTTTTCTAAAAACACCCATTCAACCCAATCGTATGCTTTACTCATGTCCAACTTTAAAGCTATAGAAACATTTTTACCTTCCCCACCACACTTCATAGCATGAAAAATATCAAAGGAAACAATAGCATTATCCGTAATGAGTTTCTGCGGTGATTTTGAGACACCACCTCTTCCAAGAACCCTTTTAATTTATCGGCTATAGTTTTTGAAACAATTTTATAAAATACATTACAACAACTAATAGGCCGAAAATCAGAAATCAACTTCGATTCATCACA